AGCTACAACCACCACCACAGTCGCACCCCACATCTATACCCACACCCTAAAAGATCGAGAAAATGTGTAATAAATTATCTACGGAAATGAAATCATTTTTTCTATGATTATTTGAAGCACGATAGTGCATCATTCATTAGTATAACATAATGAATGTCATTCTACGACAAAATTAACAAATAACCAATGAATAATGTTTTTTTCGTGCAATTTGTTTCGAAATTTTGTTGATTCGAAAGAATCAAGCATACAAAATATATGTGTGTTTGACCTTCTTATCGTTCTCGTCTTCCTAGATGTCTAGCTGCGCACACACATAAGATCTTACTTACTATGTGGGAAGAAAGTTTAGCAACCAAAAAAAGAACGGGAGCAACATCTATAAATTTTATTTATGAAATTTCGTTTTTCTTTTCTTTGGACGATGATGCATCTCATTTTCGCTCTTGTTTTCTCTTGCTTGCTTGATGCATAGAAACTTTATCAACACTCTTGAAACGAAGGAAAGATAAGAAGTCTTTCATGTGAAGAATGAAACACACTCCTATAGCAATCGACGATAACAAATTGCCAATAAAAAGAAGAAACAAGCAACAATATTTATATATATATAGAGAGAGAGAGACGACGTCTATTTATCTTTGTTTTATTATCTTCAAGAAGTTTTTACATTTTTATTCACTTGTTTTCGTTCTTGAACAACACATACCATCACCATCACTATGGACAAAAAAAAATTAACACCAAGTGCTAGTGGTTCATCTTCGTTGCTGTCATCGTCAGCCACATCAATTAAGCCGAAAAGCTCCTTATTAGTACCATCGTCGACAAGTGGTAGTGCTACTGTTGCTGCTACTGTCGGCAAGAGTGTAACAAGTAAAAGTACCGAGAGAAATACCATGCTATCCCGACCTGTGCGTCGGGTTTTGCAAAATTTTCTTCTGGTTTGGCTTGATGCCAATCTCAATGAGTCCAACGAAGATTTCAAGAAATCACTACAACACCTACGACGTATTGTGGCATCGATCACAACATTCACGGATGCTCAAGAATGTATTAATTTCCTTAGTGAAATTAAAAAAGAAAAGATTTTTATGATTGTATCTGGTTCCTTGGGTCGGCAAATCGTACCAGAAGTTGAAGTATTGCCACAATTGGAATCAATTTATGTGTTTTGTAGCAATCAAGCGGTCCATGAAGAATGGGCCAGAAAAATAGCCAAGGTAAAGGGTGTACATACAAAAATCGAATCGATTTGTGAAGCATTACAAATCGATCGTGAAAATTGTGATCGAGCTATGATCTCGATTAGTTTTAATGGCGTTGATCCATTATTTATGTATACGCAATTATTGAAAGAAACGCTTTTGGATATTGAAGACGATGATGCAAAATCAATTAAAGAACTTGCTGAATACTGCCGTCTTCAAGATGATATTGATGAAGGCGAAATTGGGATGGTTGAAAAAAAATATCGTGACCATACACCAATATGGTGGTATACAGCACCCTACTTTATTTATTCAATGCTCAATCGTGGCCTTCGCCTAATGGACGTCGACATTATAATTAAAATGGGTTTTTTTATTCGTCATTTACATCAACATAGAAATTTTTCAGAAATCACGCAAGCCTATTGCATACATGTGTAGTCTTCTATTTGTTTGAATCGTACATACGAAGGATTGCAGTGTGATTACTATAGCATAACCATTACCATCTACACGCCCGTATAGAAATCACCACCAGCATTACCAGGCTGCACCTAACACTAATATTGACTGCCACTTACCCACCGCAAACTTGCATTATTTCACTCCACAGCTAATACACCGATCGATCGATACCTGAGCGCCTATGAATAGCTATATCGCCAAGCAAATTGATTATATACACATCCATCATCCACATTCATAGCAAATCCAAAGACCAACAACAGTCATACACAAGTAGGTGAGCATGCGACGACTTTCTTCTGTGTAAACCATTTTCTTTCGCTCAATGACGACTGCACATCACTCAGAATAATCATATTGACACGTAAAAGCATTCTTTTTCCAAAAAACAAATCTTTTTTTGATGAAATATGTTTGAAAATTCTCTTCTGCATCATTTTTTTGTGACCACCTGATTTCGAATATCATTACTATCGCACATAATTACAATACTCATGTAGTAGCATCTGATAAAAATTTGTACTAGATTGGACAAACATTATTCTTCTTTCGTTTGTCGGGTTTACGCAATACAGAACGATGGATTGTCAAATAGATATTCGGCTTTGAGATCTATTATTTTTCTATTCTATTCTACATTCAATTAGCATCATTTTTTCCAAACATCGAGCTCATCCATATATAGATGAGAAAGTTTTTGGAATAATTTTTTCTTACCCATTCAATATATAGTTATATTGGCGAGTGGTTAGAAGAACTTTTTTATTTTTCTGACTTTACGAACACTCTATTCACCACTAACGATGTACGGTGGAAAACGGTCGTAATTCGTGATTTTCCGGCAAATTTCAAAAGTAAGATTTCGTAATCGGTTCCGGCAACCGGCTCCATTCCAGGTCCTGCGAATTCCTATCCTTTCCAGTTCGAATACGAAACTCCCAACGGCTGTCTAATACTCAGCCGTAGAATTTGAAGACCGGAAATCAGATAGAATCACACGTTACGATTCGGAGTAAAATTCTATCCAGATACATGATATCGGTAAGATCGAAGAGATAAATAGATGATTCTTGTGAATGGAAGGGTGAGTATTTGAGCGGTTGTGCGAAATTGTAAACAGTCAAAACACTCAAAAAGAAAAATTTTGCTTGGCATAATCTCGATTAATGCATTCCACAGAATGTTTTCTAAAAAAACTTTTGCTCTTCGAAATGTTCGAGAGAGAATTTAATTGCACAGTGGTTGGGGATATTTCAAAACTCAGGTAATTCACGGATCGAACTACCAAAATAGAAAAAATTTACCTCGAATGCTGTGAATTGGTGTTCCTCGCGGAATATTTTTGGAAAAGTTTTTGCTCTTGAAAATGGATGTGTTGAATGTTCAGAACATCGTTTGATCGACAATCGAATTCCATGTCGAATGGAGGCATTCCCAAGTCTCAACAATGGAAAGTTCAGACTTCTGAAAGAGAAAAATTTTGCCTAGTAGCATGCTCTGGTTGATGCTTCCCAGTGAATATTTTTCAATGAATTTTTCCTCTTCGAAATGGAGCTGGCAGATGTAAAGGACACCAATCAATAGAGAATTCAATTGCATGTTTAATCGAGGTGTTTGCAGGCCTGTGAAGTAGACCCTCATCTTCTAAAGGATCTCTCGTTCACTTCTTTTCAAACCAGTGAACACCCACATTCTAGTTACAAAATATTTCAAATGTTGTCTAATAATTAGAAGAAAAAAACAAAATTACATATTTAAACACCGTCGGATCCGATAGGAGCCTACTGGACGTCTTCCACCTGAGTCATTTTCCCCCTAGACGATATGGTCGATTGTGCTGAAACTTTTTTAAACTCTTCGTTGTTGTTGTAGGATCCAAATGGATCTACTACTTCATAATTTTTCAGTTATTACTACATTAATATTTCTTGTTTTCAACTAATCCTCTCATCTAATCTCTAATCTTATGTTGGTGAATAATATTCGTATCAGAAATTGCCGATAAGCTCAGAAAGGGAAAAATGGTACTATGGGTTCGCATGGGCTCCACAACAAAATTTGTCGTCTTACTGAATCTGACATCTGTTGTTGTCTAATTATTTTTTAAATCAGTTTCTTCTGATCCATTTGTAAGTTCATTATTTGAGATAATGATTCATATTCTCTTAAAATAGTGTAGAATATTTTTACGTTTTTTTTTCTTGAAACCACATTTACTGGCGTTTTTAGTTATATGTTTGTGCAAAGCCTTGAATTATTATTTGTCAGAATGTACAAAAAAAAAGATTAAAAAGGAGTTTGCATTCAACAATCAAACTCAAATTTGAATAACATCATGATTGCGATAAAAAAGCAAGTTTTGACTTTTTTTAATTATGAAAAAGAAAAAGACAAAAAATAAATATAGTTGTAAGAAAACATATCTTCACCTTTCATCTATAGAAGATTAGATATATTAACATACACACAGATACAAGGAGAAAAAGCAAACTTCTGTACTTCTCGGTACTTCTCCATACTTCTATTAGTGAATAAAAATGAAGAGGAAAAGGTGTACTTCTTTCGGACTTAGGCGGATGACACTTCCGGTTCAGTTCCAGTTCTCGAGAGCTAGAGCAGTTCATCAGTTCAGCTCCTAGGAGCTTGAAATGGTCGCGATAAGTCCTCAAGGACCACTCTATACGAGTAGCCATAAGTAGATGTGTGACAGCTCCAGTTCAGTTCGCTGAGGTGAAGCTGATCAGCCAGGTCCCATTCACATGAGCTAGAGCTGTCTACTAGCTATTCAACTTAGCACTCGCCAGCGATGGAGCTTCCACACATCTCACGCTGAATCGATCTTTGACTAAAGAGGAGCTCAAAGTTGATGGAAATTTGTCAAACACAATCTCCTCGACGTAATACTAATTGCAAAGTAAAACTACTCCATCACATGACTTAAGTGTGTTGAGCTAAAGAAAAACACTCTACTCTTACTGCTTAAAGGATAGTTCAAGTACATGACTCTTAGATTACCTCTAACCCAGTATTTCGTACCACATTCGATACTAGTTAGTAGACGACGTACGAGTGACGCCCTTACCACGATTTTGCGATCTACGCCTAAAAGCCCTTAAAAACTTATGACGACTAACACTAAATATCGCTTGAACAGTTAGCGACACTAGACACGCCTTACCCAGATAGCCTTTGAAGAGTAGCCAGAACTACTTCAAGATAGTCCTTGAAATTTGAACGATACTAATCCTCAACAGCTCTTGGTGATTTATGGGTGCCTTCATAGGATAGCCCTTGAGGGTCTATGGGTACTTCCCAGGGAGCCCTAGGAAAGCTATGATATAGCTCATATGAAAAGAACTGGTGACCCACTCTAGCTCACATGAGCTGAGATGGTGAACAATTCGAGTTCTAGCTCACGTGAGCTGGAGCTGTCACACATCTATTCATAAATCTTGGTACTTTTCAGTATTTCTTTGTACCTCTCGGTACTTTTTGATACTTCTTCGTACTTCACAACTATAGAAGTACGCTTTTCCTTCCCCTTGCATATATATCTACTGTTCTAGACTAAAATAATTAAACCTACTATTCTTTTTAGTTACCATCAATGCTATCGTTATTGCCACCAGTGGAACTGACATGTCGATCTTTATAAAAAGGACTATCTGGACCTTTATATTACATAAATGAAAAGCTTGAATAAAGAAAAAATATGCATTTGACTTCTTTCTATGGTTAAGTGAAGGTAGAGTCCAGAATAACAACGAAGGATTAAATGATTATTTTGATTGAATTGGAGTGCATGTCTTTTTTTCTTCTCTTGAAAATTTTGTATCGGTGAAATTTTATAAAACTAGCACTATTCAGGAAGAAAAAGCTTTTTTTTAATGATTTTTTCATACATAGTGCATTCATTATTTTACTTCTCGTTAGTATGAAGAACAATATTTTTCAAAGAAAAAAAAAACAACACGCACTCAAATTTGTTTCGGTTGTCAGAGAATAAATTTCATTTCTAGCCAACATATAATGTGGATGTTATCGGAGAGACATGGGAAGAAACTTCAGGCTATTGTTGGCTCTTGATCTATCGACAAAAGTTAGATAAGTTCATTGATTATTCATTAAGTTGTAGCATTACTTTATTATTTTCTTTACTTTATATGATAGACTTAAATGAAAATTCTACACAGGTTAAGATTTTCAGATCTCAACTTATTGCAATAAAGAAAAAAAAACAATCGATGAATTTCATTACGGATATAGTCAACATATTTTTATTTTAGTATTTCAGTACATCAACAGATGCTTTACCAGAATTTTTCATTTGTTTAAGAATTAATTTTGGAATAATCAGCTACGATGAAAAAAAAAGAATAAGTAAAGAAGAAATATTTTTGTTTTTTACTTGTAATACTATCATTAATATAGTAATGATTCGATCTGTTATAACAACAAACAAATTCAATGTTTTATGTTTTAAAAAAACAATCTTAATAAAATCTTTAGCACGAAAGAAAAACGGAAATCAATACGATATTTGTCTTGACATGTGACTGTGCAACAAGAGCATGTCTATCGTGGTAACAGACGCCATCCAATAGACAAAAAAAAAACACTTTTTCATTTTCATTTTCATTTTCATAAAATAAATAAATAAATACTTCATACGTCAAAGTTTTTTTGTTATCATCAAATCCTTTTTATATTGATAATATACAGATATAAGAAATAAATTCTTTTTATTTAAGCACAAAGAATAGCAGTTTTATTATGCTTAGTAACAATAGGTTCTAAAACAAACATAAAACAGGTAATTTTAATTAAAAAAATATATCGAACCGAGTTTATAATGTGTATCAAGATGATCAAGTAATTCAAATATAACTTCCTCTAACTCATAAAAATACAACTGAATCTTCTTTTTTTTTGTTATTGCTTTGTCTGTACGACCAGCATGACCAATACGATGCATACAATCTAAATTTATTTACTTTTTTATGAAATCTTTTTTTTTCTTTTACCTTCAATTGCCCTAGCTATATTATGATTTAATACAAATGAAACATCTTTTATATGTATACCACGATCAATATCATCTATTGCAACAAGAATATCTTTTTGACGCTGTTTTAATTGAGCTAAAAGTTGAATCTCGATTTTCTTTTACTTTTTCCATCATTCACAAAATAATAATTTGTTCAACACATTCAGTTGATTTATCAATTTCGAGCAATATAAATAGGTGCAGGACGATGACAATAACGAAGATATGTATCGTGTTAAACGTTCAATAACTGATGTTATTGTTATTGTAAACATCACTGTTGGACTTTACTTATCTTTTGAAACAAAATCTCTTAATATAAAAGAAAGAAAAATGTTCTTTTTTTCTTATGTTGTATCTTCTGCAAGTTCATTAATTGCTTAATATTCCAGAATACTACCAATAACTATTGGATGTCTACATTGGAATAAATATAAAATTCATACTTTTTCAAATGTAACTGCTTCATTTTCAATTTGTTATACTAATTCACAAGTTGATGCTAAAATAAATGCATAAAGAGCGTTTTTTGTAGTCAAAAGCGACGCCGTGACGAAGAATTGTTTGAACTACATATGGATGCATTTATATCTAAAATCTTTTAGACTTAATGACAAACTGGATCATATATTTATAAGAATGACGAAAACAGAAAAGATCGTAAATGTTTTGTGTTAATTTTAAATTGTTTGAAAACAACATAGTGTATTGATCGCACGGTTTGTAGCACAATTACTCAATGAATGTATCGAATCAGTAGATAGCGATGCTAAATTTGCTAATCTATAAGAAATTGAATATGTGTGAAATACACTGAATGAAAAAAATCCCAGAAAAATGTTTGGTATATCATTATCTTTAGAAAAAGAAAATGCACAAGAATAGAGCAAAGGTTCAATATCAGAAACATGCAAAGATAATAGACGAAATATCTCATGGATTACAATTGATCATAGAAAACAATGGATATCATGTTCACACACATTAAGTTTTATAATATTTTACGTTTTTGAAAAGAATTTTTTTTATAAAGTTCTTACCATCAGATGTTTATAAATGTTACTAATCAAGAAGTAAAGATGTCATGAAAAGCAAGTACGAAAATTCATGTATGTTAATATTGTCCATGCATTTCAGCAGTAGGTTTAGCTAGAGAACTGAAACTTTGGAAAATTGAACATGTTGTTTAGATATATATTTACGCATTTCATTGATAAGAAAATCATCATAATACCTATCAACTGTTAGTAATGATTGAAAATCAAACAAGTAAAGGTATACGAAATTATGTTAAATAAACATCAGCG